ATCATATATATTTATATATACAATTATAAGTGTTTCACTGACTTTTTTTTCACAAATAAAAATATTTCTCTATTTATATATATATATATATATATATATATATATATATATATATATATATATATATATATATATATATAGATGTTGAAGATATATAAATATATATATTAATATGATATATATAAATTATATAAGATATATATATATAATTATATATATCTTATATATCAGAAGATATATAAATTATATATATTTATATGTTTGTATGTTGAAGAAAGTTATATCTAAACTCTGCAGGACACCGGCCCTCCAGGACTGAGTTTGGACACCCCTGGTGTAAATCCTTTGATACAATTCAAACAATTGACATAAACAACACTAACAAATGTCTTCAAGAATCATTACCAGTGGGGAAATAAAACTATTATTTTCTGATGGTCAAAATATCTTGAATCATTGCAGAAATAAGGAAATTGAGACATTCGCATTGATTTTAAAGTGGTGACAAAACAAAGAACCAAAACTACTTATCAGACAAAAGTAAACGAAGACAAAATGCATGACTATTTCTTGACAAAGTTAAAAGAGAGAGTCCTGAACTGAAAACACATTTGCTGCTGTGTTTAAAAAATGTGAAATGTATATTTCATTGAGGTAATGTTGGATTAACATTCGCATATTTGATCAGAGACAACATGTGACATGCTCCCTATATTGTTTACCACAGTATTTTGAATATTCAGTCTCAAATCAAAGTAAATATGACTTCAAAACAGCATTAGCACTATTTAATTTACGGCGATCAATGCAAAGAATACCTTTCTGAAATGATATTATTGAGGAGAAAGTCATGATGTGTGAATATAAAACCAACTTAACCTCGAGGTCTGTTTATTTGACAGGTTAAAAAGGAAAAGTCCTGTCCTGAAAACACATTTGCTGCGGTGTTTAAAAAATGTGAAATGATCTGCTGAATAAAAACACATCTATGTTCAGCTTATGTAGGAAAAACCGCGATATTTTAACGTTATATATACTTGAGCAGCATGTTGTTGTTGTTTATCGGAGGGAGGGGCTGCAAACACATGACAGAACTGCATTAAACTGATTTACTACCAAGCATTAGCGTTAAACTCCTCCAAATAACATGTCTTATTAATTCAACACGTCAAATACTGCAAATGTAACAAGTAAAAAACGCAATAAAAGTCTTACAGCTCTTCTCAAGTCAATGATTTAGCTTCTGTTCTGTTTACTTGCTCTGTTTACTTAACCTGTAAACAATTCCGAGCAAGAAACTGAACAAAAAACTGAAATGGAGTCCACGTAGGAGTAAAAGTTACCTCATTGTCCTGTCTGTCTGCCATGCCGTGCTTCTCATTACTGGCAGGTTGTTTTTTTTCAGCGAGTTTTACAGGGTTTGTGTCAAATATCTGTAAACTGCAGCTCAACTGACTGCAGCTGCTTTACTTCCTGTTTGCGTATTCAAAATAAAAGCCCTTTCAGATGAACGCACTGCTGTTTATGTGCACAGTTTTCTTGCAATGTTGAAATGTTATCATTCTTTTAAAATAATTTAAAACGGAGAAATTTATTTAGTTGTGTTAAATATGCCAAATCGGTGGGCAGAATTTGGTTTCATTTGCTAACACATGGAATGAGCATTTCGACCAAACTGTATATTTAGCATTGTACATGATCTAGAAATATAAACAGCTGTTGTGTTAATCTGTGTTGTTTTCTAATAAGTATCCTATCTACAATACTAAAAAATAAAATAATAATTTTATATTCAAAAAGGAACTATTTTCTCACGCGCGTGTTGACAGTCGGACTCGATTTTATCGCTGCGAGTCTTTGTTTACTTCCGCTTAATTGTGCCGTGAACTTCATTCTCTCGAAATGCAGGTAAATTGCTTAAAAACTCATACTTTATGTACATTTTTTGCGTCTTTTCTTTTTTTTTAAAAAACAGTTACGATAAAATTTCCGATTAGACTGTGAAAATAAGACCGTATGTAGTTAATTTGGTCTGTTTATAGAGTGCAGCTATGCTAATTGTTGAGATCTACGTTCGTAGGAAACACGTATAACTGTGATATTATACTGGAAATGATGTAAGTTTGTGTTTTATTCTGACAGCAGCGGGAGGAGAAGCAGCTGGAGGCCTCTCTGGAGTCTTTAGTAGCTCGCGTGGCTCATCTGAAAGGTTCCCTTCAGAGTTTCATTTATAAACTAGAGAATGAGTACGACAGACTGACGTGGTGAGTAAACCTGAGGTAAAGTTGGTTTTATATTTGGAAATTCAGAGTTTCTCCCTAATGCAGGGTTTCTACCGCTTTCACCAAGTTGAATTTAAAACTTTTAAAGACACTTCAAGACCAATGTGAATGAAAATTTTGACTTTTACAGGGCTAAATGGTAAGGATGTTTCTTGAATAACGTTATCCCAGTTGGAAAAGATTTTCTCTTGCCCTATTGAGAAAAGGATTTATATATATATACACACACACACATTTCATTCATTCATTTTCTGCCGCTTTACCGGGGGCGGGTCTCGGGGGCAGCATTCTTAGGAGTGAACTTCAGACTTCCCTCTCCCCATACACTTCCTCCAGCTCCTCCGGGGCGATCTCAAGGTGTTCCCAGGCCAGCCAAGAGACATAGTCCCTCCAGCGTGTCCTGGATCTTCCCTGAGGGACATGCCTGGTACACCTCCCTAGGTAGGCGTCCTGGAGGCATCCGAAACAGATGCCCGAGCCATCTCAACTGACTTCTCTCGATGTGGAGGAGCAGCAGCTTTACTCCAAGCTCCTCCCGGGTGTCAGAGCTCCTCACCCTATCCACAAGAGTGCACCCTGCCACCCTTCGAAGGAAACTCATTTTGGCCGCTTGTATCCGAAATCTTGTCTTTTCGGTCATGACCCAAAGCTCATGACCATAGGTGAGAGTAGAAACGTAGATTGACCGGTAAATTGAAAGCTTTGCCTTTCGGCTCAGCTTCTTCTTTACCACAACAGGCCAGTACATCGACCATATTACTATTGCGGCTGCACCAATCTGCCTGTCAGTCTCACGTTCCATTCTTTCCTCACTCGTGAACAAAACCCCAAGATGGAAAACCACCTTTTTCCGATGGAGCATCATGGCCTCGGACTTGGAGGTGCTGATTCTCATCCCAACCACGTCACACTCGGTTTTTGATGAAGCCAACAGAACAACATCATCTACGAATAACAGAGATGAAATCCTGTGGTCCCTGAAATGGACCCCCCTACAGCCCAAGACTGCGCCTAGAAATTCTGTTCATAAAAATGATGAACAGAATTGGTGACAAGGGGCGGCTCTGTTTTTATTTTACTACATTTAATAATACAATAATACAAATTTAATAATAAAAAATATAGGTCTGGGTCTTTATAAGATCTATAAAATCAGTAAATAAATGAAGAATTTTTAAACAAATGTTACACCAAGTAAATTAATTAAATACTATTTTTAAATGAAAAGTTTAAAGATTTATTGAGATTGGGATTGTTGGTGATTGTATGGGTGTTGATGGCCAGATTGGGTTGCTATACATGAACAAAGGAAAATTAGGACCTGTTAAAAAAAAGGATCAAGACTAACAGCACAATATTTCAGTAGATTTAAGACTTTTTAAGGCCTAAAATTTAGTTTTAGAGTTTTAAGACATTTTAAGACCTAGTGGACCCCCTAAAATAATATCAAAGCAAATGACTATCAAAGTATAATATTGTTCACACCTAAATCAGTGTTTCTCAACCACGTTCTTGGAGGAGCACCAGCACTGCATATTTTTGATGTCTCCTTTGTCTGTCACACTCATTACAGGTCTTTCAGTCTCTGCTGATGATCTGAATCAGGTGTGTTTGGGTAAGGAGACATAGAAAATGTGCCGAGCTGGTAGTCATCCAGGAACATGGCTGAGAAACACTGAATTAAATAATGCTAATTTGGTTTTGAAGTCATACTTGCAAGCGATTTCAGACTGAATATTTAAAGTTGTGTGGTAAACAATATAGGGACTATCACATGTTGTCTCTGTTCAAAAATAAATAAATATGCGAATAAATAAAAAAAATAAAATAAAACCAACTTTACCTCAATGTGAATATTGATGTAAAGTTGGTTTTTATATTCAGGCTTTCTCCTTAATAATATAATTTCAGAGAAGTATTATTTACTCATTCTAAATAGTGAAATCATATTAGCAGCCAGTGATGATCAAGAGTATAACATTGTTCACAGTCAGATAAATAGTGCTAATGTTTTCAAGTCATTTACATGTGATTTCAGACTGAATATTCAATGTATCATGGTAAACAATATAGGGAGCATGTCAACAGTTGTCACTAATCAAATGTGCGAATATGAAACCATCTTAACCTCAATTATTCAAAGTAGCATGGTAAACAATATAGGGACTTAAGTCACATGTTGTCACTGTTCAAAAATGAACGAATGTGTGAATATAAAGCCAACTTGACCTCAATGTGAGTAAATATAACTGAGCTTTTGCGGTACTCCTGTCTGTTGCAATATGCTGATGTAAATGTTTTGATTTCAGGCCCTCCGTGCTGGATAATTTCGCCCTTATTTCTGGACAGCTGAACACCATCAATAAACTGTTGAGAAATGAGAAAACCCCATCATACAAATCACAGGTCATCATACCACTCCTGCTGTCTCCTGATCGAGACGAAGAGCTGGCGGTCAGTGTCAACTCTCCATATGTGTAAAATAACCATGAAAATCTGATTCGCATTATATTAGTTATCTGTCAAATCACCAATCTTTTTAATCTTCAATCATAAAACAGAGCTTAAGGGATCAGTTTATCAAAAAAATATATATATTCTGTGATCATTTCCACTTGTTCTATACCTGTTTTTTTAATTTTGTTGAACACAAGGTAAGATATACTGAGGAATGCTGGGAAAATGGTTATGGATTTCCATGTCTCTTTTTCCACTGTTCTTCAATATGGCTTGTTTTGTGTTTAACAGTTCATTTTTGGGTGAACTATTCCTTTAAGTCGTACCCAATTTTCAGCAGCAGTGTGTTTTCTATATAGAGAAATCCCCACATGGATGAAAAATAATAATGTAACTTAAGATTTCAGGCTGACTTATCTACTGTATTCTATGATTTCTCTCAACCCAGAAACTAACAGAGCACCGAGTGCCAGTGTTCAGCCATGAGATCGTGCCTGATCATCTCAGGACCAAACCCGACCCGGAGGTGGAGGAGCAGGAGAAACACCTGAGCGCTGAAGCGGCTCGCATCGGTCCTGAAGTAGCTCAGGTGAACAAACACACACCAGCATGAGAAACGCTTACGTTTCTTCATAGCTAACACCCAAACAATTATTCAGATTTTATTAGCCATCAATATTTCTTCAGATTGCCCACATACTCAGACTAAATGTGACTTGGGTTCTGTTTCTAAGCCATCAAGTATTGAATGCATGGGAACACAATCTGGTGCTGTCTACATGCAGGACGTTACTGTATATATATTTTTTGTAAATAATTTAAACTTTTAGGTTTTGAAATTAAGTATATATTTAATTTTGTTTTTCACTTGTTCGTTATGTATCATAAAATCGCTTTTTATTTATTTATTTTCCAATATCCTTTATTCAGTTTTTACTTAAGTTTTCTAATTAGCTCTTCTAATCATTTCAGTTTATTGTGTGCTCAAAAAGTGCCACAAAAACACAATTTTTGAAAGAACAAACATGTTTTAATAATAACTAATACTTTATATATAAAATTATATTAAATAATTTATTTGTTCAACCTAAAACATTTGAGAAGACATCTATTTGCTCTGAAAATCATGTGAAAATCTTTCCCAAGAACCACTAGACTCTCAAAATCCTAGAGGAACTGCTTTAAAAATGTATTAAATTAGTGCTGTTTGTAAATATGTGGTTGTTTTCCTTTCAGAAACAGATCCAGGCATTGAATAAGCTTTGCTCGAATCTTTTGGAGAAGCTGAATAATCCACGTGAAGACAGAGACTCTGAAACCTCAGGTACTTTAACTCAGTGGTCACCAAACTTGTTCCTGGAGGGCCGGTGTCCTGCAGATTTTAGCTCCAACCCTAATCAAACACACCTGAACAAGCTAATCAAGCTCTTACTAGGTATACTTGAATCATCCAGGCAGGTGTGTTGAAGCAAGTTGGAGCTAAACCCTGCAGGGACACCGGCCCTCCAGGACCGAGATTGGTGACCCCTGCTTTAATTCTTATATTACTGTTATATTTAGTGTTAGGGAAAGTTACTTTAGTCGATATTGTAAAGCAATACATTCGACTTTCATTTTAATTCAGCAATTTTTTTTTTTTTTAAAAGCAAATTAAGTAAAAAGCTACAAATATTATAAGTTTTTAAACTCTTGTGTGCTGTTGGGGATGTTTTGACATCCACTCTGGGGTGATTTTGAGTTTTAATTTGGCAACAGCTTTCTCTGTGTTTTAGCAAATGTGATGATTTTTGGTAACAAATCTTTTTTTTAACACATATTTTAGGAAAATGCTTTGACATTTTTCAAAAACTCAATACACTCTGGGCAAATTTACTATAATTTTGTTATGCAAATGAATAACTAATAAATAGCAATAAAAGTAATAAAGAACTAATAATAATAATAATAATAATACATTTTCCTCTTTTGCTTCAAGATCAATATTGTCAATATAATTCAACAAAATTCTCCATGTTTTGTAAAAGGATTTTAAAGACCTAATTTTTTTCCCAACTTTTAACACAAATTTCTTTTATCCATCCGTCATATGAAGGTGGAGATGTTTGTTTCCAATTCCTAGCCAAATAGTGTTGTTGAAGGCGAATTTGGCTCAAAAGGAATTCCAAATAGTGCTGTTAGAGGGTTTGGAGTGGCTGATATGGAGAAAGTGTGTGTGTGTGTGTGTGTGTGTGTGTGTGTGTGTGTGTGTGTGTGTGTGTGTGTGTGTGTGTGTGTGTGTGTGTGTGTGTGTGTGTGTGTGTACTTGCTTATGTCCAAAATGAGGACTTTCGCCAGAGTACACACCAGTAAAATGAGGACCACCTTGACAAATGAGGACTTTTTCTTGGTCCTCATTTGTCTGACCATATAGCAGTATTCAGCATGCTTCAAAATGGTGTCCTGGCTTAAAATCTCACTTGTCCTCAAAATGCACTTTTACATGATTTGTGTATCTAAGTGTGTATCCCCCCACCCCAAAAGTGTGTATAACACAGCGCCCTCTAGGAGAACTGCAATGACGCAATGATACACACTTTTGGGATCTGGCCAATCAGAAAGATACAAGGAGGATGTCACGCCCCCTATTGATCTGACGAATCAGAGGCGAAGTGCGTAAAAATAAAGATGGCGGCAGCAAGTTACTATGGTTACTTCACAGAATAAAAGAGACAGTATGAATAAAATTGCACTTTAATTAGTATTTAAATGAAAATGACCAAACTGCGTCAAGAAAGCCTTATATTTGGTGTCCTTAAGCACGGTACTTTATTCTAGGTTTGAATCGTACTGTTTCTGCGCAGATCGCGTTGTATCCCCGAGGGAACGGATAACACGGAAGTAAGTTACAGTATGTAACTTAGGCGGTACAGTAGCAGATCCGAGAAATATTGTGGCATAATAGCGCGAAACGGCCCGCGAGAGCGACACGCAACAGAATCAAATGTTTTCCTGGTTTGTGTGTTCTTTGAACTGTCTGTCTGTCCTACACTGTCAGCGACCGCACCGCGCACCTCCCCCGCCCGCAGCTACGCTCCCTCCGGCTACAAAGAGCTCAGCTGCCCGGGAACGAAAGGAGGAGAGGAGCTCCGAGTCCAACCGGGAGGAAATTAGGCGGAATATAATATATAATTTGATGTATATCCGTGTATAATAAATGGTATCATCACTTGGAAACTTTTTGTATACATGTTTAACTTTTTTCCCAGAGTTCTGTTTATCTAAATAACATGTTAATAAGTATTTGTTTAAGTTAAAAAAGCTAAAATGCCAGGTTTAAATCATTTTTCTAAAGAATGAAAAGTGTATTATTTATATTTCCTTTGCACTGAGATTTACATATATTATAAATAGTATGAGTGAATAAATTTCTTATTGAGTAATTTAATTACATTTTAGATAAAGATAAATATAATCAGTGATGGGAGTATAGTCCAAAATAATCAGTTAACTTACTGTAACGAAATCACAAAGTGAATATATATTTTTTCTAAAACTTAAAAAATGTAAAAAATAAAATAAAATAAGAAATACTTCAAGCCTGTTTATTTCATTCAAATGTAAACAATGAATTAAGACATTTGCCAGTTCTGTGTATAATATATAGTTAAATCACTTGGAAACTTTTTATATGTTTAACTTTTTCCAGAGTTCTGTTTGTTATCTAAATAACATGTTGATAATAAAGTATTTGTTTAAGTTAGGAAAGCTAAAAGGCCAGGTTTAAATTATATTTAAAGAATAAAAAGTGTTTGATTTATATTTCCTATGCACTGAGATTTATAGAGATTCTGATAGTATTGAGTAAAGTGATTACATTTCTTCTTGAGTAATTTAATTACATTTTAGATATGGTAGAAAAGCAATTTACAGCCTTTTTTAAATGCTCAGACACTAAACGTGAAAACTGACACAGACTCACTGAAACTCTTCACTCTTACCTTATTAACACCAATTCTACAAAACTACAAGTCCATTGCTGTAGTGTATTTGTGGATATTTGTTTGTGTGTTCAGTTACTAGTTTCAAGAAATATTGATAAGTATTCTGGAAGAGCTGTAAATACAACTTTAATGTTGTAGTAATTCATTACTTTTTTTAAATCATTTACCCAACACTGATAATAATAATGTATTAATACTACATGCATTTGATATTTTTCAGCCAAATTCTTAATGGAATAAAGCCATGGTCTTTCTGTAATAACTTAAGTTCAGGCAGTTTCAGACACTCTTTACACAAAAGTCTAAACAGATGTGTGTCCACTATAACAGATTTGCACTGTGATGCTCTTGTTACAAAACACCACACAAAAAGAGTGACAGTTAAAAACAAATAAAACACTTGGAATGATACGATAGCTGTATGAATGTGTGCCAGTTCTGTATTATTTTTTTCACAGCTGCATGTGCAAAATATGAGCCAGAATAGACACAGGTGTTACAAATTTAGATATGAACAATGGCGACAACCTAAAAAGAGGGAAGGAAAAGAAGGAGGAGAAGGAGGATGAGGAGGATGAAAGAGCCTGATCAGCCTGGTCAGAGGGTAGGCCTCAGACTGAGCTCTGTATGAAGACAGTCAGTCTCTCATTGACAGAAGTTTCAGTTGCCTTACTTTGCATTCACTGTTTCTATTAAACTTGTGCTTTTTGCATAATGAGAGTGCTGAATACACAGATATTGTGATTTCACCTAGTGGAACATGTTCTTGGATCAACATCTCACATGTGTGAAACTCTTCCTGGAAGGCTACAGCTCACAGTTCAGCTTTACTTCAATGAAACATCCCTGATCAAACTAATTGAGTCCTCCAGGCTTGTTTGAAACAGACATTATAATAGATAGATGCCCCATTAACAAGCCTTGATATCACTTTTATGAACTTGAAAAGTATAACTTTATTATAACTAATTCAATGTTTGCTACAACAACTATACCGTTTTACCATGAAGAGTTTTTACTGTGGGACAGCTATTTAGAGCCATTTATACACTATATGCATTACAAAAAACTAAACTCATAACAACATTAATTATGGGATGTTGATCTCTGCTCTGTCCACTTTTTTGATGTTGAAAATTCAACTCTACAGTTTAACAAAGTGACTTTTATTGACATTTCAGTATTTGAATGATATAGTGTATAAGAAATAATATCTAGAGAAATACGTCTGTAAAATAACAGGAAATGTACTGGCAGCTTATTACAAGCTAGTTTAAATTGGATATACAACACCAACCCAGACAATAGATCACTTTAAACCAGGGGTGTCCAAACTTGGTTATGGAGGGCCACAATCCTGCTGAATTTAGCTCCAACAGACCTGCCAGGAAGTAGTTTGAAAGTTTTTTTTTTTGACACCATAAAATTATAATCAGTTAAGAAAATATACTGTTCTTATATTTTATATCAGGCAAAACAGCAGCTCCTCTGTTCAGTTGCCTCTGTTTATAGAGCAGTCATAACCGGATTAACCTCGTTGATTTATCGGAACAACGGACTGAAGCAGACCATGAGGCGTTTAGCTTTCTATTATAATGTCTATGGTTTGAAACCTAAAGGTTTGTTGAAGCAGGCTGGGAACTAAACTGTGCAGGGTTGTGGCCCTCCAGGAACTGAGTTTGACACCCTTGACCTGTTGAACCTGGAACAACATTTCTATTAGTCAATCAGATTGATGAATAAGTTCACATTTTATGTTAAGGTTGATTTACATTGAGGGTTACATGCTTCTACATCATTGTTATACGACTAATCATCCTCTCTGATATTGAGAATAATTTACAGTTATGGCTAAGTTTATGCCGACAAGAAGTTATCTAACAGCAAGAAGGTCGCTGGTTCGAGTGTCATCTGGGCCAGTTGGCATTTCTGTGTGGAGTTTGCATGTTCTCCCCGTGTCGGCGTAGGTTTCCTCCACAGTCCAAACCCATGCGCTATAGTGGTACTGATCAACTACATTAGCAGTAGTGTATTAGTGTGAGTGAAAATGATGGGCCCACTGTATGAAACATTTGTCAGAGTAGTTAGAGGTTCATTCTGCTGTGGCGACCCCTGATAAATTAGTAACTATGCTGAAGGATAGTGAGTGAGTGAGTGAGTGAGTGAGGTTTAGGGGTAGGGATTAAGCAGTGGCGTAGCGGATGGGCCCGCTGTATGAAACATGCCAGAGTAGTTAGCGGTTCATTCCGCTGTGGCGACCCCTGATAAATCAGTAACTATGCTGAAGGACAGTGAGTGAGTGAGTGAGTGAGCGAGTGAGGTTTAGGGGTAGGGATTATGCAGT